CCTCTTCAATCGTCGGGGTGGTTTGAGTGAATTCAAGAGGATGTTCCGCAGATCAATCCGATCGATTTCGGGACGACCAGCGGTCTCGAAAGTGAGTGGGGCGTCGCCTCCGTTCTCATCCCATAAGACGGTACCTGCTGGGTTGACGATTTTGAGTGCATCACCCTCCGGACGAGCGTACTTCTTAAACTCGTCGTAAAGACCGGCTTCGCGGAGGGCGAGCTGCCCGGATTCGGCATGAAGATCGAGTGTGAGAAGTCTGAACTGCTTTCCTGCCGATTAAGACTCCTCGTCAATGTCACCATGCATCTTCAAGATGTTGCTCGCATCTGCATGTTTCAGCATACCTCTCTTGTAATCCCCCCAGACTCCTGGTAAACGATCTGGGGTGACAATGGCAAGCCCAGTCTGGACAGATGATGGATAATCTTCATATGGTGAGATGTTCTGGAGGCTGGTTTCATGTTCCTCCGTTGGGTCCCATAAGACCAAAGTATTTTCTGCACTTTGGACTCGCACACCATATCTGCTGAAATAAAAATCCCCTCCTTGTCGAGGGCCAAATGAGCTGCGGATTGTCAATGAAATAGCCCATTTGTGTGGCTGTTGTTCAGTATGGATTGCACTGGTTTCAATACATCAGTAGCTGTAAAAAACCGTAAGATTCAAAACGAATGATATGCCTACCGAGCATAGTTTTGTGCCATAACCCCACATGGAGGTGCCATCTCAACATCATGGAATTCAAAGCCAACATCCCCAACATGCACTGTGTATGATCCAAGTGCTGGGCCCATCCCAATAGCATGTCCAGCTGCATCCTCCGGGGCACCCATATGAACCATATCCTCCCTTCTCATGAATGCATCAAAGTCTTCAATCACCTCATTCGGGAGGATGATTTTGCATAAGTTCCACAACAATGCAAATGCGGAGCTTGTCTTTTTATCCAGATCGCTTTCGGGCACCTGCTGAATAGCCAATTTGCACAAGATTTCCTGGATCTTCAAGCTGACATGACAGCTTCAATCAAGGAAAGGATGGTGAAGCATGTGTAGGCTTACCCTAATGCTCTTGCGGGCACCCACAGACAGTTGGATGATATCGTGCAGAGCATCCAGAAGGTCATCAGCAGGACAGAAGTCCCTCAGAACTATTCCAACCAGCCGGTTATCGGGTTCTGGAGTGCGCAAAACATAACTTTGATGAGGTAAGATGTCGAATTTTAGCTGTGATGGGTCAAGGAGATGCATAGGCCGCCGGCAAAGCCGGGGGTCTGGCTGTGGGTCCTGCTGAAGTTTTTTCTCCCATTTTTCCGCGATCTGGGGACTATCGTAAATCCAGTGCTTCAAAGGAGGATAGGGTTTTTGGAGCGACACAACACGAAGCACGTCGGTGTTTTCCATACGCAGCACTCGCTGTGTTTTCCCCGAACCGGTGTACATCAGTGCCTGGATGAGTGATTTTCGAGCACTTTTCCGCTCCTTCCTTGCAGTTTTCAGAGAATCTAGAATGGATTTCAACGGTGGCGGGAGCTGCTCTGCATTGCTGCAAGCTTGCAGAAGGCTGCTGTAAATATCGGACTCGTGCTGGGGCAGGAGCAAAGCAACATCATCTTGTGGTAGATTGGGAAGGATCCTGGCTGCCATATGACCTACAAAGATCCTCTGGCCCTCCGAAGTAAATGATGCAATTAGGAGGCTGGAGGCTGTAGGGTCAGCTGCAACTGCATCAATCATGCGCTTTAGCACACTTAATTTCTTCTTCTTCTTCTGATATTCTGGTCCATGAACAGCCGGCAGCGGGTCCTTGCGCTTTTTTGAAGATGAGGTAGACTCCATGTCCATCACTGGTAGCAGTAACGTGGTTGCGAACTAGTTGCGAGCGAGATCACCCGGACAAGCAAATACAAACTGGCGCACCACTAGGCGTGTGAAGACAGTGAAGTACTGATGAAGTATTCAAAAAGCAAATCAAGACCGTCGAGGATCGTGCTCGAAAGCCTACAACAAGCTTGGATTCTGATATGCCCAGTCACATACCTATAACCAACGACAAAGGGACGTACTCTACTAACTACAATTCCACATCTTTTCATAGTTAATCCGTTCGAAATCCCGTGAATGCGCTGACCATGGCCACTAAGATGGCCAAATGTACCCCAGCCGCCCCGATCACATCAGTTCCGCCGAGCGTGCCGAATGTGGGAAAGTGATGATGGCCAGCGGCACATATTTTATTATTGATCTTTTATTGCCATGCTCGTAAGCGAGGCACGCCCATGTGCCACTACATCCAATCCCGGCTATCTAAGCTATATATGGTATGTAGGCCCCCCCCAGGCTAAGATGTACACCTACAACTGTCACGTGCGTCATGCCCAGTGAAAATTGACCCTGTGCAGATCGGGTTTCTCCGGATCAAATCGATATATTTGCCAATTTCCGGCCATCTCCCCTGTTCAGATCGGGCTCCACCGATCCATTTGGCCATTTTTTAGGGTCGATTTTCACTGGGCGTCATGGGTTGGTGTTATTATTTACAAGATCCTTTATCCAACTTTGTGACCTGGCTGAACTATTTTTGAACATAACCTCTGCCCCCAAATCCTCCGGCAAATTCCTGATAAGGCCGACTATCCCCCCGGGTGGCTCCGTATAACGGCAAGCTAGTAGAGGCCCATTTAAGTGCGTACTGAACCAGGACCGTGGGTAGATTTATCCTGTGTGGGTGCGATTAGTAAGCAAGCTGACTTGAAGGTAGTGGTGATAGGGTTGTAAACAGTGTGAACCATTGTATTATGGATGCGGCGACGGCACATATTTGCATACGCCCAGAATTGCTGCCAGTGGATCTGACGCCTCTTGGCTACTAGTACTAGCCAACTACTAGCTAGTGCCAACTTGCAGCTGCCTTGCAAGACCACGCTGGTCCATACAGAGAATGCAATATGTGGGTTAGGAAACTACCTGTTTCGCGGATGGCTTCTCAGGTTCAGCTGCGCACTGCCAGTCTTTGCTCCAATCCGACTCCTCTGACAGGATTGTGTTAAGGAATGAAACCTTCGAACTGCACAGTAACTTACTACATGTAATCCTGGGATTACCACATCAGGCATTGTTTGGCATCGGCTCCTGGACTATTTGGTTCTCTACATACGCGCTTTCCTCTCTTAACCACGCACCACCACATTCTCTGCATACGCACCTCCGCTCCTGTACCTTTATCATCTAGATACCCTCAGAATCATATAAGCGGTTAAATTCTGACGGTTTCTGTGAGTAGTGTTATCTATCCTGTGATCACAGGATAGATTTCCACTACATAAGTTACGAACACAGTGCTTTTGGACTGCGGATGCTCTGCAGGCGTAGTCTGCCGCGGTTTCCGTCACTGCTAGACATCTGCGTCTCCACCCTGCTGCTGCCTCACATTTGCTTTCCTAGCCACCTCTTCCAGCATCCCCCTCACATGAACTTTCTAATATCCCACAACATGCTTGCCTTTGTGGGAAGGCAGTCGACGACACTCGGCTGCCGCTGTTACTCCTTGTCTCCAACTCACCAAGATTGACAGGTGGTGGATGTCCCCCGTTTTTTGGCCTTGACCCACCCAATAAATTTTTCTTCCCTTACAAGTTTACCATATCGATGGTGTGCGAACCTCTTCGGGTCATATACATTTTTTGACCTGATTCTTTCCCCTCCCTATACAGTGCGACACGGGAATTTATGTTCTTTTTGCTGCTTGATTCTCATTACAATAATTCTCAGTAGCATTTCCCTGTATCCAGCCCAGCTGGCAGTTCCTTTACCGTTGAAATCTCCTCCAACTGTGCCAAGGCATCGCTTTCCTACGGAAGTGAAACCTCTTATTGGCCTGCCAGCAATACCTATCCCGAAGACTATGGATTTGGTGTGTTGCTCCTTTTGCATCGAACTTCCCAAAGTGCGGCACTGTGCATTCAGATAGAAGAAAGAATGGCAATACCTGTGTAAGCACAAAGCCTGTTGGCTCCATTTCCGCCTTGTTGTCTTGTATTGTCTAATCCTCATGCATACGCTCATCCTATTCAGTCCCTCCTCATCCTCTGTGCACCCTTGTCATGTCGCACTGTTGTCTAATATCATATAGAAGCCACATTGGATAAGGAGGAAAGATTGACTCTGTCACATAACAGACAATTCCTTAGGTGTCGAGCGTAGGCATGTAAGTATTTTATTTGAAGTGTCCTTCCTCCATTCCATACCACTAACTTTGCTGGTATGGAAGGTCCAAGTCGTATGCTACGCCGTGCGGGGAATCTTCTCATGAGCTGGCCAACTAGTAAAAGCGGGATAGGCGTTACAATTCATGTACTTCCAGAAGGCAGGATGACGAGGCACGCCAGGATGATCGGAAGCCGGAAGAGTGCAGCCGCCCCATCGAACATGGAGCACCCTCCAGCGCCCTACTTTAGAGACTGCCTCTCAGCGACAGATCTCGACCTCAACATCGAAGTTATCCACAGCATGGTGTCCAAAGAAGGTTTCTACCACTTCTGCAGCACCCTCAGCCCACCCATACCTGACATCATGCACCACATCCCTTCGTTCGACACACACCAGTGCACAGTCAACATCACCATCAATTCTTTCAACACCGAACTCTCAAAAGAAGCGGGGGCGAAATTCTTTTCTTCAATCAGACGTCCCTGGCCAGAAGGGAACAACCAACTGGCAAAGGCAGAGGAGATGGGCCAGCACCATTCCTTTTACGCCGACTCAGTTTTCAATCGCAAGGAGGCAACAGCGATCCTGGTGCAGCTTGGTTCTTCCAGGTGGAGGTCCGATTGAACAAGGAAGGGTTCTTGCAGCAGTTCCAGGACGACGTGTTCTTCAGTTACATGAAGTTGAAGCGGCAGGAGATCAGGAATTTAGCGGACATTATTGTGATCATGCCGGGCATAGTGGTGTACGATGAACAGCGATAATTACTCTCAGAAGTGTTACATAACAACTACACTTTGTCCAATAGTATGTCAAGTTATAATTGACAGGCTACTATTGCATTGTCACTCGCTTATTTCAGCTGCTTTCCGCTTGCAGGAGAGTGCAACCTCCATCGGTTCAAGCACATTTGAAAGCTCCTCTGACAAGAAATGCCGACGCATGTCATCAAGTTTAATTGATGCCAGTGCGTCGTTTGGGTCAAATGAACTAATAGCCCTTCTGACAGACTCTGCTGTTGAGTTGAGATCGGGAGGCAACGGACAGCCTGCTACGAAGCGAAGGACATCATGTTTTTTTATCGTGTCGATGAGTTTTTGTCGTTGATCCCGTGACTACCACAAGAGTCCTAATTAGCTGAGGAAAGTAACAAAACTAACTGACGCACTGCCATCTTGAACCAGTGGTCTGGCTGCATAGATATGAGAGCTTCACTGAGTGTTGATGAACCGAGTGAATTTTTGTTGCCCGTGGTGTACGACTTGAGTTGGCCCATCAGAATGTGGAGCGACGTCGACGATGATGGCAATGCTGGTAGCTTGACCCTTGTCAAGACATCTGGGCCGAATGACGTGGTTGGCAGAAGTATAACCGGGGCAGAATCGGGACCTTCGATCCAGCGTATGATCTCTTCGATATTTGCGCCATAACAGACACCAGCAAGACCTGGGTTCTGTGGAGCCTTTCCTAAAATGTCCACAGATACACCAGCCTCATCAAGTGGTGCAACAATGTGGGCCTCTTCATCTGCCCATGGAGGCCTGTGGTTGGGGTGAAATTGAAAGATTGTGCTCAAAGGGACTGGATATCGCAGCCTTCGAAGCAAGTAAAGCACTGTGGCACGCTCAAAAACAGGTCCACGGAAGGATGGGTCACCAGCTTGTCGCTGCAGTTCTGCACTCAAACTGGTGTTGCTGTGAGTTTCAAGCCATTGCATGACAGACAAAAATGCAAGAGGCTCAACTATATGCCCCTCATGCCCTTCACGAAGGCAAGCTATGCCATACTCGACAAGTTTGGCGGTAACAGGTCCATACTTCGGAGCTTGTCCAATGATGACATGAGATCGGACGATGGTTAGGGCTTCCTGAATGGCAGTAGAATCTGTTTGATGTCAGGGGGGAGCGACAGAATGTTGAATGACAAAGAGCGTACCTAACTTGAGCTTGTCCCACTCAAAACCTTTTACTTTGATCTCAAGTTGGACATCAGGTTCGTCCAAAGTAAAGGGGTCCCCAGTATCGCCTAGGGGACAGTCGAGATGTTGGTACAGATACTTATTCAGCAATTTATGTGGCGATTGCAACCCATTCATGAGAAGAAATTCTAGAAAGGTTACGGTGAAGCGGTATCTATTGCTGGTGAGACACGCACAATTGAGAACGACATTGATAACTCACCGACCCAGAAGATATTCACGCATCCGCTGCTCCAGACGATGCCCTGAAGGGTTACTTAGGAAGGAAGGTGGGAAATAGTGCCGGAGGAAATCCATTAGTTTCGGCCAGGTTTTGAACATCCCAAGCTTGTGAAACACTTTGACTGTATGTTTAGGTTTCCCAACTCCAGAGGCTACGCTGTCCTCTAGGTCCACAAGCGACACACCAGTACCTGACACGACAAGCTTGACCAGTGCTTTGGTGAAGACTTTAACCATTTCACGGATTACCGAGCAGAATGCTCCAGGGTTGGAGGAAGACATGCCACAGTAAGGGTATAATCGTGTGGCCCACTGTGCTTCATCGAGCCCCAAAATGAGCCTGGCGCAGGGGAGATATTTTGCGATAATGTCACTAAGGCGATCGATCAATGCATCAAGTGCATCATCTGAGGCATTCCGCAGCTTGTTAATGATCCGAAGAATTGGGTGTAAGCCTCCATAATCTAGTTGGTCAAACAACTGGAAGAGGAGCCAGATCCGCTTATGTCTGTCTTGCAGACTGCCATCGACCTGGATAGCAACTTGTAGAAAAAGCTCCAAGACCACAATGCGTGCAGCCAGGACTCTCCGAAAGGCCCTAGACGCAATCTGATTGTTGATGTCATTCTGAACAGCGCGTTCCTCAGCAGAGACTCGTCTAAGGTCAGGGACCCATTGCCTATAACGGGCAACCATGTCTAAGGCCTCCTGCAAATCCTGAATGCCCACCTCGTTGGCATCTGGAGTTGCAACAAAATAAAACCCCCATGACTTTGTGAGTACCTCCATAATAAACCGTGTTTTACCTGAGCCAGATGTGTTGCAAACGCACCTGCACTTGGGCATGAAAAAAAGAAACTTCAGAAAAGGTATGATGACATACATCGGGCTGCCACTCGCAAACACCTCTTTTGTTCTTTCGTCATCACACTTATCGAGATGGTGAAGTAAAATACTTGGTTTGCCATTGGGATATGTGGGTATTTGTAATTTCGATAGAAATTCTTGGGTGTCTGGTGTGGCGGACTCTGGAGGAACCCAGATTGGTGGCTCAGGATTGCGCAGAAATGACTCCACTACTGGTTGTATCGTTTCAAGCTCTTTTTTCAATTTCTCGTCAATGTCGAAGATACAGTCAGTCGAGTTAGACGGCGTAATGATCTTTTTCCCCTTGCCACCTAAAGGAGAGGGGGTAAGGATCGAAACAAGCAGTTTCTTCCTGACTGTAATGCACTCACCAGTCGGGACCGACCTTAAATCCTGAACAGCAAATCTGATGACTTCATTGGAATGGTGGTGATATTTGTAGAAATTTTGTAGCTCGTAGTTCGAGCTCAGAGTGATTTCTTCGTTTTCGTCGTCGATGTAGGAAACGCCAATTTTGTCCACTGGGATTCCGTAGATTTGCTTCAAGGTATATGTAAGATCCTCCCAAGTTGGACGGTATGGATACTCAAAACAACGGATAAGGCCGTCTAAGTGAGATAGCTTGAATTTGGTTTCAGGCATTGGATAGAGTCAATTAGCCAATTAGCGCCCAATTTGAAACTCCGCGCTGCGCATAGTATCAAGTCATTTGGCCATTTGTTACAAATTGTTACAATAAGACATCTGTCTACATCTACTAGAGATTAAGGGTGACTTAAGAGCCATCCTCGATGGACCATAGTGCATAATAATACACTAGTATCTTCTCGCACAACAATTCATAACCGCCATCCTTCGCTGATAATCTCCAAATATCCGTCCCGCTAGCCGGATTGACGATGTGTGCCAATCGGAAGAAATATGTGACCTAAGTCGTCGTTTCTCTATTTCAACCATACCAGCCTCTCTTGAGATCGACGGATCGAGGTTAGGTATTTGCCCTAGGTAATAAAGAGAACGATGAAGTGGCCATATGATCGCATTATCGGTGAAAAGGAACTTAGCTGCTTCGAGGAGGCCAGTCTTCACAGCCTCCTCGGTTTGCATATTCAGCAGCTTCAGCTCCATTCTCTCCAACAGCTCCCTTCTCGCATCTTCCCTCCATCGTTTGTACTGCTTGCAGCGGACGAATAAGTGATGCATGTCTCCTGTCTCGTCACATCCCAAGCTGCACAAGTCATTATCCCTCTTCCCTCTCTTGTAAAGAACCTCTGCCGTCGCAAGCTGACCTGATCTCGCATAAAGCTGAACAGCGGCTGAATGTGCCGAAACAGCCTTGGTGTAAGGAAAGTCAGGTGGGGGGTCCAGGATCGGGCCCACGTCGACATTCGCAGATCGTGTCCAATGCCTAGAGCCATTGCTGTTTTGCAAGCGAGAAGAATGTCAATGAAATGCATGGCATTCAATTCTATCCATCCGTCTGTCTCTGAGTAGATTGTAAAATCATTCATGAAGAACGAGGGGATTGGCGCATAGAGTAGCTCTGCATAGACCTTTTGAGAAGTTGTCGCGAGGAGGTCCACCTCTCCATTCATCCTAGCCTCCAAAGTTGACTGATCAGAGTGGCCTGCAATGTAGGTGACAGCCACTCGACTACGATTGATGAGAGAGAGGATCCAGCGATAGTAGGATCTCCCATTCATATAGCGTAGACGTGGTACTTGAGAGATGTTGGTCTGGCTATCGTCAATTAACCTTACCGAGTTCAAGTGATCTGTGAGGATCGTCACAAGATCATTTTGAACCAGATCTCCTGCAAGAACCAATGCGATGATCAGCCCAACTTGTTCTCCATGTAAAATAGAGATGTTATGCCCCGGGATTTTCATGGCTAATGACTTGCGCCCAGTAGCAGCTCCAGTGACCGACTTATCATCTAATATACCCGCGGATGCAGGTAACATTGACCCATCAGATGCCCAAGTCAGGCCGTCACTGTACCTAGATGGCGCAAGTGCGCAAACATCAGCAATACTCCTGATAAATGCTTCAGCCCGACGCTCTCGGAGCTCTCTGGGCAGGGCAAGATCAACAGGACCAAAGACGAGGTCGTCAATTTGGAGCCTGTGACGAAGGGCGTGCGTAAGTCGATTCCAATTGGCTTTCGCCGCTGAGGACCAGGTCCTGTCAAAGCTTGGAGAGTGACTTGTGACACTAATGCGACCTTCCATGTCCATCGTCCATTCTCCAACATCAGCAAGAGTTCGAAAACCCTTGAGACGAACAGAGTGTAATGATGTACCCGTAATATCGGCGAACATCTGTGAATCTCGATGATTGCATACATGCATAACATGAGAGAGCGAGACGTCACCTTCTACGATGCCAGACTGATCCGTTTGCCTAAGAGACAATGGCAAATCTTTCATCACCTTTCGCGCTGTGATCCATTCAGCAGGAATGGCTCGGAATTGTCGGGAGAAATCTCTTTGAAGACCCGACCCATCTAAGGGATATATACAGCCATTCTTCTCGCACATCCAATCCATAAGCGTGATGTGCGCCATGGTTCGGTAGGAGGAAATATGATGATTGAGGTCACGTATAATCCCATTGACCGAGATTCCGGCATTGATGCGAGCTATTGACGGGAAATCAAAGCCGTGATACAGAACCGGAAGCGTAGCAATGGAAGTT